TGACGTCATCTGGTGTGAAGGTGTACACGACAGTACGTTGCCATAACAACGCGGGACAGACCTCCGAGTCCTCATCTGATGGTGTCGTCATCGTGTCCAGGGGAGACGTTGCGACTGTAGCTGGCTTCAAAGTCCTGGAGGAGAGCCCCTCTGTGTTCTCAGACAGAGGCCAGTGTCACGTAGCCCCAGACACTGTGAGACTTCACTGGGAGGGAGGAGAAACTCAGACTCCTTACACTACGCTGGTATGTCGACTCCAGTTGACGTCTTCAACGTAGATACTTGCTCTAGTCACAACTACCATGTATGAAGCTGGTGCTTGGTTATATTGCTGTGAAATCACACCCACACACAGATTTTGTAACATTCTTACATATTTGTTTTGTGTTTTTTTAATTAAACATATAGGTTCACATCGAGGGTAACAGTTTGATCTACGAACAGATCGTCCCGAGTATATTCACGTACACATCTGCCAAGCTGTGTGGATTGAAGCTCAGCGATCTGACAACCTACAACATCAGCGCCATGCATGTGCTGGACAAGGCAGGGTACCCGACAGAAGCTTCTATCACCATGCATGGACCGCCACCAAGTCTAAACAGTAAGATATTCCTTAGAGACAGCACAACAATTACGCTTTATACATGTACAGCAAATACGTAAATGCAGATTTAAATGCTACAAAATTCAAAATTGTGATAACTATGTACATTGATGTCTGGTTTACTTCAGAAGCAGCGATGATCTCGTCCAGCACATCCGACAGGATGACCACTCTGTCCTGGCCTGGCCTGTTTACCTCCCCCTGGGGCCAGCTTGTGTATGAAGTGATGGTGGGCAGGGTGGAGGGTGGGGCAGATGTGGTGGACGGGCTGCTGACACGCCAGGAGCAGATGAAGCTCAACCTGTCCTCACACCCACAAACTGTCACTGCCGTATATGTCTCTTTAACAGCCATTGATGCGTGTGGATACACTGCTTACTACTCACAGGCTGTGGGTGTTGTCCCGTGACTCCAACTGATTCGTGGATGTGTAAATCGTGATTAAATATTGTTTTCTAATTTTGACAGTGTAATTTGTTCCCATCCGTACATGCTCACACACTCATCAGTCAATTTGATCATCATGACCAATTTTGAAATTATATTTATTATCAAGTTGTTTTGTCATTACACAAATATGATATTTTGTAATAGTTTTTGCTAATGTCCTGATCCCAAAACTGTATCCAGTCCTTTCTGAAAATCCTCAAAAGAACAACATAATTACTTTCTCCCCTAATTTTTAAAGATTGATTTAACAACACCTACGTAACATTTGTTCTTGGAATGTGCCAGTACAAAGAACCATGTTAAGGGTTTGACATAAATATCTTTAAAGACATCAATGGTGGTTAAAACAGATACATTAATTAGTCTATCAATACCAGCATCTATGTCCTTTTTTTCAAATTCACAGTTTTGGAATTTCACATTTTGTAATAGCTGCATTAAGTAGTGTGCTTTCTCAATGTTTACGTCATGTAGATTATCTATATCAAAGTCATCTTCTGCCGAAACTGCTTTTAAAGTCATAGGAAAGTTGAGTACAGATTCAACCTATGAGAGTAAGGATAAGCTGAGAAGGAATAAACCAAGGTTAACAATCTCATTATCTGTTGGCCGTGATCAAAGATATTTATTTAACACACAGCCTTAACGCAACACTCCAGACTCACAAGTATAAGTCTCTGAATATATATACCATTGTCTTATATTTTGATAGATATTACATAATAATTTTCCCATTTTGTGAATTTGAGAACGAAATATAAACCATAATTAACTTCTACATACCGAATCAAATGCTATGCCTCTGTAATCAACATCATTTGTTTGTCCTTTTTGTATATATGGCTGTGTTAAACCCATCTTCCCGAGGCAAAGCATTAACTGACAATAAAAGTCCAGTTTCCACCCTTACTACCCTGGGCTCGATTGTTCTGCCACCTGTGGCTATTACGTGTTATATCGCTTCTGTGCCTCTCCTTTGGACCAATCGGATTCTTACTCTCCTATCACTTGCATTTGCTTCAAACAAAATGGAGGTACCCCGTCAAGACGATCTGATCGATAATCAAGATCTATATTGTGAGTCATACATCGCGAAGTGCATCAAATCACTTGAACACATTGATTAAAAACCTGAGTTAATGAGTGAGTGAGTATGGGTTTACGCCGCTTTTAGCAATATTGCAGCAACATCACGGCGGGGGACACCTGAAATGAGCTTCACACATTGTACCCATGTCAGGAATCGAACCCGGGTCTTCAGCGTGACGAGTGAACGCTTTAACCACTAGGCTACCCGTAAAAACCTGAAAATATTTAGAGAATATCTGTTGACAACGAGTTGGATGTGCACATGCTTTGCAAATTCTGCAATCGACTGAAATCTGCAGAACAGTTTAAGAACCGGATTTCGATTTTGTTGTACGATTTTGATTGGACAATGCTAAGACTCGTTTATCCAGCCAAAATGTAACTCCTTAATACCAGCCTAGTTCGACAAGATTGAAAACTTGACTTTCATTATCAGTTAACTCTCTTGCCTCGGGAAGATGTGTTAAATCAGAAACAAACAAACGTACAGGAATAATTACACCACGTGTCCATTCTTTTGGAAAATACGATGTTTCCAGAATTGAATTGAAAAAGTCTCAAAATAGGGAAATAAGATGTCATGAGAAGATTTAAAGCATTTTGGTATCAATTCATTGTTTCCTGAACTTATATTGTTTTTCAAATCATGAATAGTGTTGTTACTGCGTTTTGAGGTTAACCGAGCCCTACTACAGTTTCCTAATTTATTGTTGTTCCGAGTCGTCACAGGTAAGGTAAAACCATGACTTAGCAACTCGCTTGGTCAGAATCGGGTCATCTTAGTCAAGGAGTGATTGGTCTATCGACTCTCACCCCGAACTGTCTCTATCTGCATTCCTGTGCTGGTCCTTGCACTTACCAGGAATAAACACAACACGCGGGTTATACGCCACATACTCCCCCGTCAACAGAAGGCACGACCCGGGCCACATAGTATGGTACTGAGGCTTATTTTGCTCAAATTTAATATGAACGTGCTCAGCCCCACGTTGGGCGCCAATGCAGCGGCCATAACATTTCCGAGTCCAGTGATGGGATTCGAACCACGGACCTTCTGATCCGAGGTCCGTGCTACACTCATATTTTTTTAATAACGCTCCAGTCCATCTTCAAAAACAACTTCTACATAAGACAGGCTAGACTCTTCATAGACTGGACAAACAGTGGTATCGATCTGTCTCAGTCACTGCCAAAACCGCGCACCACTAATAGTGCTGAAAGTATCTTTTTAAAGGGGTCGAGTCTAACCTTTCTTAGTCACATGTAACAATGCCTCAGTTTGATTCGTTAAAAGTTTAGATCTGACCATGAACTCAAGTGTGTCATAATCGGAAAAATGTCGAAGCCTACTTGCCAGATTGAGCATCTCTCTATTGATTTTGTAACTCACTTGCTGACTCTACAAATGATAAGTATCTTACCTCATTCATGATTCATTAAGTACTCGACGATAATGTGGAACCAATCCAATGATAAATAAGAAATGTCCGGAAACATTCTGATAATAAATGTGAAATGTCATTTCTCTATTAAATTCTTTCCTAGCTAATAGTTCTGTCACGACCTTTTCATACCTAATGCAACCACATCATTGCAGCTATGAACAGATTGATTTGTTACAATTTTGTTACCATTTTCTAAAAGAATTTAGACGCATTTTAACCTTGTAACAATAGCAGAGAATATTTCTTTTCTCTTCTTCCGATGTCTCACTAACACCAACAATATCACCCGATGCCATTAACGGAATGCATTCAAGGTCAGTACTGCAGTTTTACTTTAAGTCCTGACATATTTCAAAATATATAATCAACATCAATTTTATCACTGCTGTGATTATGATATCTCTTGGGCTCCGACCACATCTACGTCTGTCCCTGTCCTCTCCCTAAGTCAACCTCCACTCTCACCTTGCTGGATTCACTTGTACATGAAACATACGTATAATGCTTCGGAGGCGATGTCTATTCGGATTCTCATTTTTACACTTTCTCATTTCTTGTTTCCGTGTCCTGATAAACCAAGAGCAGTTATTGCATGACTGATTGAATGGGATGATATGATGAGCACTCTTAGTTTATCAGTGTCAATAGGTTGATATTGTTATTTTCTCTGGTAGAGTTAATTACTTTTGCTACTTGCATATAGTGTAGGATTCATTTGTCCCTTCTGGGATACCATAGATGATGATGTTATTCCTTCTAATCCGTCTTTCTAAGTCCTCTACACGGTTTCCGAGCTCAGTGAATTCTATCATAAGATCATCCACTTTTTCCGAACTGCGTCAACATCCAATCGGATTATATTCTGTTTTTCCCTTGTGGTATACATTTGCTTTTGTAAGGCTGTGACGTCACACCTGTATCATCACTCATAGAACCAGTGTCATTTCCTAACGTTTCCTTCCTGTAATTGCTGGATATCGGAACTATGCATGCCTGGCAAGTCTGTACTCAATGGGCCTTGGTTAAGTGCTGCATCACCAGCTAGGAATATACGGGATGTAATGATACATCGTCATTGTAGCTGTCCGGTTTTCGATATGTAAACCTGTAATCAGTGACACACAAACTTATCTCAACATCTGGGAGGGGTATATTGGTAACTCTGTCTTGTATATACTGCATGTTGTAAGCAAAAGACAATAGAGCGGGATACCCTGAGCAGTATTACTGTACAATGTAGAAGCAGGTAAGCCAGGACTGTACCCTTCGTCCATGTTGAGTGTAGGGTTGAAGATTTTCAATCTGCCCTCGGGGGTGAATGAAACAGCCGATCCTTGGTCTCCAGATGATGACCGATACACCCATTTTCACTGGGAGGGAACGTTTTGTACTCAAAGTAGACAATTTTATGTACGACAACTTCTTTATTTACTGTAAAGGCGACGTGTCGGTAAAGATTCTTATACCTTTGTCAAGCAAGGCTGGATAATGAACATGATAGAAAATATATTTAGTAGGTGGAGGATTAACAGAAACAATAATTGCATACATGCGGATTCGAACCCTAGATCATAGGTTTCTTGCGTGCCCAAGGGACGCAACTCTGCACAACGAATTGCGGCGCTTTAGATGACTGGGCCACATCAACGATCCAGTACTTTCGGTTACTTCAACAACATATGTTCACGGATTTATGTCTAATAGCAGGTCAGACTCGATTATTTACAGACCGTCGTCATATAGCTGGAATATTGCTGGCACGGGACATCAGTCAGCTCCAACTCGGTTATCCAGTCAACGTGAATCTGACCTCTATGGACAAGATATATTCTCGGGTAAATATATTGTGTACATGAAACAAGGTTGCATTTGTGTTCTTAAAGAGGCAAGTGGTATGCATAATCCATAGTATGAAGTTCAAATCATATCTGAATAGGTGACTGTACATGTACTGTGGGGCTGAGAGTGATCCTCCAGAATGTACTGTCGTGAAGGTCTACCTGGATCATCAGGGGGTTCTGACTCCCTCGGGTGTCGCCTTTCCAAGTTTGGTGTAAGGTTCTTGTTCTTCCTCAGCGGAGCGTTTCCCTTCCAGTTTGTTGTATGTGTCTTCTGGTTTCTCAACGACGAAATAATCAGCTGCTGTACCGTTGTTTCCAGCTGGCTCATTGTCTTCATTGCCAACTGCCATTGATCCCAATTTGTTGTATGTCCCCTGCACATCAGTTGTAGTCTCAGTAGCACCATCTCTGACCAGTCTGTTGTATGTACCCTGCACATCAGTTGTAGTCTCAGTAGCGCCCTCTCTGCCCAGTCTGTTGTATGTGCCCTGCACATCAGTTCCTGTCTCAGTAGCGCCCTCTCTGCCCAGTCTGTTGTATGTGCCCTGCACATCAGTTCCTGTCTCAGTAGCGCCCTCTCTGCCCAGCCTGTTGTATGTGCCCTGCACATCACTTCCTGTCTCAGTAGCGCCATCTCTGACCAATTTGTTATAGTCGCCGTCTGTCGGGTCATCCTTCTCCTGGGAATACACAGCTGCCCCAATCATGTCATCTGTTATGTCCGTATAGTCTCCCTGGTCGCAGGCAGAAGGATCCACTTCCAGCTGGTTGTCTTCTCCCTCTTTGATGACGTCATACACATCTGACGGGGCACTGGACGCTTGTTGTACAGCTGAAACCTTAATGAGATCCGGGACTTGGGATTTCACCTCATTTTTACCACGTGGGGATTTACCACTGGAACTGGTGGTGTGAATCTTAAAAGAAGCATAATTATGGCTTGTCAGTTTTACATAGTTTCACTTTTATGACCTGTTTACACGTGACATCGTACTGAATGACTACAGTTAGCTTGTTAACGATTAATTAACGTGCATTTCTGATACCCGGTAATAGTTGTGATCAGAATATACACCTTGAACATCAATAATATATTGACCGTAATATACCGAAAAATATGCTGAAATTACCAGCCTAATTGGCGTTGTCATTAAATTAGCCCTATTCGTAAAACAACACACTAATACCTATATGAATTCGAAACTATTATTCCATTATTGCAACACTGAACAGTTGGCTACATGTACCTAGTTGGGAGAAGTGTTAAGTCTATTTCGAAACAGTATTTAGAAGAGACACTGATAAATACATGTGTTATTTCTACTATTGAAATAACCCAATACTAATCAATCTATCAACTAGTACATATTTTGCAATTGCTTCCACCTATCAGAAGTGTATCACACATAAAAGAGTTTGGATAAGATTGAAATATGACAGCAATAAACAATTTACCAATCCCAGATAGGTGTGGGATTCCTTCGTCCCTGCTCCGTCTTCATCTTCTGTATGTCTATAAATATTTAAGAAATAAGGGTGAAGTGGAAGTTCATCATGTGCTAGTGATATTGTCTGACACTAATTTACAAACAACTTGATTCCCCTCAGTTTTCTGTAAATAATAACGACGTCCGATATGAGGATCATAATAACGTTCTTTATGTCTTAATGTCTTTATGATTAGACAATGTTACAATAGATAATTTGATGATGCACGTTGACAATTTCACACATATTAAACACTTTATAATCATTTACTCGACTAATGCGTCATGGCGTCAGGAATAGCTTGACGTACCTTCTTCTTAAGCGACATGCACGACAAAGGAATACGATGACAACCGTGATGATGACGCCCCCAAAGAGTCCTCCAACGACTCCTCCAACGAGCACTCCGATCTGAGATCCGTCTTGTTTATCTACGTGAAACCGTATGCAATGATTATGACAATAAGTTTTTCAATTGAAAATTAATTGATACAAATACACATTGCCTGATATTAATTATGTATTATTCTATTTAATTTCTCAAAACCATTAGTTCACTGTTGTTTGAACAGAACCGTTCCTGCAACAGCCGTATCAGTGGTTGTACCAGAGGCTGTTTTGCCGCTGGATAGACCAGGGGTTGGAGTATCTGTGCCGGATGCAGGGGATGCAGTACCAGTAAGTGTGTCGGATGTTGTCTTGCCACTCGCTGGACCTGGGGTAGGTGTGTCAGTTTGTGTGCCAGATGCTGTAGTATCAGTAGTTTTTGTGGAGGCTGCAGTGTCGCTGGCTGGACCAGATGATGCAGCAATGGTGGGTTCGCTGCTAATAGTAGTAGTAGTACTTGTGATTGTGTCAGAGGTTGTGGTACCATTTGTCAAAGTAGTGGTTGGTGGTGTGCCTAGTATTAAAGAGAGTAAAACGTTTGAAACTGTAATATTTATAATTGAAACACAGTAGTATTAAACTAGCTAGAGTATAATATTATGACAGGCCAACAGATGTCCGGTCTTGTAATGTGATTAGTTGCAGGTAAGCGCAATCACGTGCTGTTATGTAACATGTGACAGTCTTGAAAAAAACAGCCGGTCAAGTGGCAGGCTCGTCTCCCTACTCCCTCGTTTGTCGTTCTCCCTGAGAACCCAACAGAAGAAACATGGCCTAATGTCTCTGCTACTGTTTTTATCCTTTGGCGCTCGGATTTGCTGTGCAGAGCTCCGTCCCTTGGGTACGCCAGAAATCTATGACCGCAGTTTCGACCCCCGTATCGCCTCGATTATGTTTCTAGGTTTGTCAGGACAATAACCGTGCTCGTGGCTTTCACCGAAGTGATAAACGTATGAGACTTGCTTTACTTCGGCCTTTCCTCCCACATTAACCTGACACGTCGTGATATATGGCATTGTCATTTAGTTTTTCAAAATTCGATGATTTCCTAAGGAACATTTTCGATCCGTTTAGTGGCAATCAGTTGACTAATTCTAACACTACGGGTCACTTGGACAGAAGAAGAGCCTGCCATACATGCACATTGAAAATTATGACGAATGTATAAACAGTAAAAATGATAAACGATGACATCCTTAACTCTATTCACGTCATAAACGGTGACAAAAACCGATAACATAATTTACCAGGAACAGGATGCAAGGGCCGTGCTGGAACAATTGTGAACACATACTTTGGCCATGTGTCTGCGCAAGCCAGACGTTCTTGTGTTTCAGTGTATGAAACGGATGGTTACACACCTGTGTCTGATTTACCCAATCAAGAGAGGCTCTAAATATGTATACATTAACTTGAAGATGAACACACAATACCACTTAGAAAGTGGTCAAAAGAAATAAATGTTATATTTGGGATAATACTTTTTAGTAAGGTACAGATTCTAGAACTTATTTGGGTTGAATATGTTTGCATCAGCAGCCCCGTATGAACCTCGCAAGTTCATTTAACTATGTACATTGCTTGTATACATGTACATCAGAGATGTGAAATATTTCCTGGTAAAATGAACATTCATTTGTCATTCAATTCCTCAAACTAACTGTTCTGTACTTACAATTCTTGGATTCCACCTTGCAGGTACATCTGCAAAACATGTACGACGATGGTAAATTTATTATATTTTATGTATGGAACGTTCATGTTTGTGAAATTCGTATTCAGCTTTATAATCCACTACATAGTTCAAGATAAGGTTTCCAGGATGTTCTATATTTGATGTTTATTAATTTCATGTTTCAAATTACGGTGCTATATCGAGCTGGAGGAAATCTTATACATACATATGATAAATGAATAAAATAAAAACCCAACTAAAATTACTACAAGGTTTTTTTCAGGAGAATTTTTCAGTGATATTGCTGAAATGTTGCTAAAGCGGCGTAGAACAATTGTCAGTCACTCACTCTCTCACTCGAACGAGATATGGGCGGCGTGCACACACAAATCAGTGACGGCACGATTAATAAATTGGGGTGTATAACGTTGAATTGTAATACTATGTCGTTGAGATAATATGTTTCATCATTAAGTGTGTAATTAGAATATGTCTTTGTGAGAGTATACACAACTACTTAGGGTAAACACATCAAATTCAAAGCTGATCTTTAACCATTGATGAAATCTTCTACACTGTAATATATTAATAAAATCAACAGTCATATTAGTGAGTGAGTGAGTATGGTTTTACGCCGCTTTTAGCAATATTCCAGCAATATCACGGCGGGGGACACCAGAAATGGGCTTCACACATTGTACCCATGTCGGGAATCGAACCCGGGTCTTCGGCGTGACGAGCGAACGCTTTAACCACTAGGCTACCCGACCGCCCCAACAGTCATATTAACTCGTGTGGTCAACATGTGTAAGTTGAAGGCTATAACAAAGGAAAACAGTAGGGTCTGTGTTATCAGTCAATTAGTCCAAATGTGTCACTGGCAACTACATGTATATATACTCTACATAAAACGAAACGCAAAAGTGATTTTTGATGGACAGATGGTTATCGATTGCTTCAAATTGGCACACATTATTATCATTGACCCAGGTTTCATGTGGCACACATGGAACAGTAGATTTTCATGGTGAAGGTCATTTGTTCTCAATATCTGGCCACCATTAGAGTCCAAAACTGACTGGCTTCGTCGTCCTATGGAAGCAATCAGAAACTGTGGCCTGGGGAATGTTCCCCCACTCTGCCTGCAGTGCTTCTGTCAACAGCCGGAGGCTCTGTGGTTGTTGCTGGCGTGCTCGCTGTCGTTGATGTAGCGCGTCCAATAAATGCTTCATAGGGTCTCAATCATGAAGACCATGGCAGGACCTGGATGTTGTGATTTCTGAAAAAGACGCTCGCTTGTTGGATAATGGGAGGAGCGTGGGCGAGGAATCTCATTCGTGTAGCTTTGTGTCAGTAGATTTCCTTGCACTTCCACGATGTCAGTTCTACCAGTGTAGGAGATGGCTGCCCACATCATCACACTACCACCACCAGATTTGTCCACGTCCTGTATGCAGTTTCATGTAAAACGTTCCCCACAACGCCTGTAAACACGTCGTCTACCATCCGCACGGCGCAGCATAAAACGTGACTCGTCACTATCCAAAACTTGTCTCCATCACACTTGACACGATTGACGTCGCAGCCGACGATGAAGGTCCGTGAAAATGACAACTGGAACTAGCGAGAATATCTTCAGCGTTGCAACGGTTCCTCACTGCCTTGGCTGATATCGTACGCAATCCTGGTATTGACGTCGAGGTGCCCTATTGTAGAGGTGGCAGTGGTGGCTCTTTCACGTTATTAAGTGACGTAGCCATATGAATCTGTCCTGGGCTCTAGTAGTGATACGTGGTCGACCGGATCTTGAAAGGTACCGTGTTGTCCCGTGTGTCTGTGTCTCCCGTGTATGGCTTCACAGCCTTATAATGGTGCTTGGTACTACGTGGCTACATCTGGCGATGATTTTCCTTTTTACAGTCGGCCGATTGCGTTGTTGCGTTGGGCTTCCGTCAGTCATGGTATGTTTTCACTGTTCACTTGCTGTAAGATTGTGATGGCATGTAAATGAAAACCCAACGTTTTTATAGACCAACAAGTGATGTAGCACGTGCATGTCACATAGGAGTGTTTCAGCGCCATGCTCTAACGTGTTTGTGTTTTTGTGATTTTTTACCAAATTACTGCAGTACCTCATTCTTTCTACACAAACCAAACCCAATCCAGAAATGATGATTTCTTTTCCGCATTAGTTATATATTAATGGCTAAACTTTGCGTTCCTTTTTTTGCAGGGTATATTACTTTTCAAGAGGATGAAATATCGACCATTTGTTCTTCTTGAGGGGACGAAATTATTATCGAACAAAATGAATTGTCCTACAAACTGCTTGAAAAACAACAGTTACGCTTCAGACTGTTTAGTAACAGATTGCCTGTCACATAAAATACATTGTTGCAAGAAGCTGTGTATATAAAATAAATTAGAGAAATATCCAGCCTTCAGTCGAAATCCTGGCGCCCCCAGAAATAGTTTGTAAAGTTGACTAACTTGTCAGTAGATTTTACCAATCGTTTAGTATTGTTTTAATAGATGGCCTATTGTCACTATCGAAGAAAGGTTAAGTAGTAATTTAGATAGGAGAGGAGAGGGTGTCGCATTCATATTGAGTCGCATTTTTGGCTAGGGGCCAGCGGTCGCATTCTTTTGGAGACGCATTAATTTCACGTTTTACAGTACTTACATTGTCAGATTCCTGTATGAGAGAAATACAATAATGCATACAGCAAAAACACATTGCTGAATACAAAGATTGTTGTATCTTGGTAGGATTCGAACCTGCAACCTTGATTTGTAGTCAATAACGCTACCACCTGTGCTACGGAGATTGTTGTCGTCACAACTGTCAATATTCGAAATAACCATTAGCTTGGCGCATTTGTACATTATTAAGTGACGTGTATGTGTTATGCAAAGGCCTGTGAATATGATTTGCACATCTAATTTCAATATATATTATACATCTCATTCATATTAGACTTATTGTCTGAAGATATGCACTTTGATAAACATGTTTAAAGGTATTTAAATTCTAAACTTGTTTGGATTATCAGGATGTTTCGTTTAAGTGGTGTTTAGGCTGTGAGGCGATAGCTTTTTTCATATGTTAGGACCCTAAACGTGTTTACATAGAACACACCAAATGTGCATACAGTTTAGGATTGGAACACATGCCTAAACATGTCGTATGTGTGTTTACATTCCTAACACATTTTTACAGTGTGAATTATACTAACTTAATATGTGATATCTTAAGCATCTTCGTGTAATCTACCAGGCAGGATAGTAAATACGTTGTTTAGACTTGCATCATATGACCTCGGGTTGTTGTTGTTTTTTGCATATGTTCATGCGAACACCTGGTATCATTTGATATTTGATAGTGATTCATAAACGCATGATTATGCTATAGAGATTTTTGTTAAGTTAGTAGAATTCACAAGACATTTTGTACAGTTTTTAATGTACCTTATAATGTGCTGGCCATTCTCCTTCCTTTTATGTGTAGTACAATACGGCAATTCACCTGAAATTTAATATACGTGTTAAACCATATCTACAAGTATGTCAGAGAAAAAACAAACATACATTATGACAAACTATGTTTGGAAATCATGAAAATAACTTTGCGGAAATTACTCGTTCACATTACCTGGGTCAATGCATGTTCTGTTTAACTGATTCCCATCTTTAAATCTGGAAACATATTCAAAATCACATATTTAACATGTAAAACATGTGTAACACACACACTTATCTTAACGGTACTACGAGGGGCGTTCAATGAGTTTTACACAAATAATGTCCACTTGTGGTAGGTGTGACACTAGTCATAAGATCAGGTTGACACGTGTCATAACAAGTTCCAGACACAACAATAAGTTAGATGTGATAGCTTCATTCACCTAAGGGTGGTCACAATCATGGATTCTCTCAAACATGAACAACGCGCTGTAATAAAGTTCCTCACCAAGGAGGGATGAAAAGCAAAAGGAATCCATGATCGCATGTCTAATGATGGGTAAGGATGCTCCTGACTATTCCACAGTTTGCCGTAGGTCTCTACAGTTTAAAAGGGGTAGGGAGTCAATAGACGATGACCCAAGGTCAGGCAGGCTTTCAGATGGCACCCGACCGGAAACCATTGCTGCTATAGAAAGAAGAATTTTGTCCGACAGACAGGTGAAAGTATCTGAACTTTCTAGGGAATTCCAAATATCAGTTGGAACTGTTGGAACCATTATTCATGAGCATCTTGGTATGTCCAAGGTATCTGCAAGAAACATGAATCCACCACTGGGAATCCATGCAATGGAAGCATGCAAATTCTCCATCTCCGAGGAAGTTTCGCACTCAACCATCGGCTGGCAAGGTAATGGCCACCATATTTTGGGATGCAAGGAACACATTACTGATTGATTACATGCCACCAAAAACTACAATCAATGGACAGTATTATGCTAATGTAATGGAAGAGTTGCGACAATCTATTCGCCAGAAACGCCGTGGGATGTTAACACGTGGTTTTCTACATTTGCATGACAACGCTCCGGTTAACAAGTCGTGAATTGCACAGGCCGCCGTATGTGAATGTGGATTCGAACAGTTAAATCACCCACCCTACAGCCCACACTTAGACCCCAGTGACTATTTCCTGTTCTGGCAAATGAAATCTGCCCCACTTGGAAGACTCCTCCAGGATGACGAGGACATAAAGGCTGCCACAGAGGCGTGGTTAGAGGGCCAATCTGCAGAGCTCTAAACTGGGCGGCAAAAGAAAGTATAGGTCGAGTTCCATGATCGATAAAAAAATAACAAGAAGAGGTTTTGTTGTGAATTATATTATAATCTAGGGATGGGTAACAAATGATTGATCAACTACATTTTGAATGAAATTGTGTAATCACAGGTAATGTAAGCTCAAGGTAAACAATGGTGGGGTAAGAAATTTTATTTTTCAAAGTTGTCTGAAATGTCACGAAAAAAATGTCAGACACACTACAAGTTCATTGTCGACACAGTTGCCTTCAGTAGCGTGTATGACCTTCATCTGCCTCAATGCATGCTGTGATACGCCGCCTCATCGATGACGTCAGTCTTCTGATCTCCACAAATACCGCCCCACACCATGACACCGCCCCCGCCGAATGAATGGACCTCTCGAATACAAGCCGGAGCCAAACGTTCCCCTTTGCGTCGATAAACTCGTTCTCTTTCATCAGTAAACAGCACTCGATGCCAATTTCTCACTGGCCAGCGTCGAACCTGCCTCGCCCATCGCAGTCTCAGGCGTCGATGTTGAGCAGTCAGTACCATTCCTCGGAAAGGACGATACGCTCGGATTCCAGCACAACGAAGTCGTCGTAGTACTGTACGTTGGCTAATGGGATGTCCCAACGCTGTTGCTGCCGTCGCCGTTGCCGATACGAATCTGTTTTGCAGGTTAATGAGCCGTATCTGACCGTCTTCCAGTGGTGTTGTCACTCGGGGTCGTCCGGTTCCAGGCCTATCCTGTGTCCTCCCTGTCTGCCTGTACCGTTGAATCAGCCTGGCTACTGTCAACTGTGTACAACCAAACCTTCTGGAAATTTGGACCTGTGTTGCCCCCATTTCGGCCATACCGATGGCTCTCTCTGCTCCTGTGACAGTCGTGGCATTTCTTTTGTGTGCTTTCATCACGTGTGGTTATACGCTGCAGATGAACGCATTTATACAGCTAACATGCACGTGCAGTTTATGCCATAGGCGGGAAACCTGTGTCACCATTTTTTTGTCACCGCACGAGCGCCATCAAAGATGGCGCATTCGGGTGAGGTGATTTTGGTACCTGTTCCTGGGCAGTCATATTCCAAATACCCGCTTTCCACTAGTTATCACTGCTTTTAGGAAAATTACAAATTGCCAACCTATACTGTCTTTTGCCGCTTAGTTTCTAAAAGTGGTATTAAAAGCTTGAAGGACAAATGGAATAAGTGTGTGTGTGGGGGGGGGGGGGGGGGGGGGGGGGGGGCGAGGAGGGGGAGAGTGAGTTGGTAAGTGGCTGAGCGGTTTGGTGAGTGGGTGGGGGGTGAGTGGGTGAGGAGGCGTCTGGGCGGTTTGGTGAGTTGGAAGGTGTGTGTGTGGGGGGGGGGGGGGGGGGGGGGTGAGCGAGTGGGATAGATGTGGGGTGAGAGAGTAGGTGAGGGGGGCGGCTTGTCGGTTTGGTGAGTTGGTAAGTGGGTGGTTGAGTGAATGGGTTAGTGGGTGGGGGAGCGGGGCAGCTTGGCGGTTTGGTGAGTGGGTAAGTGGGTGGTTGGGTGAGTGGGTTAGTGGGTGGGTCAGGGGGGGGGCAGCTGGGCGGTTTGGTGAGTGGGTAAGTTGGGGGTTTGGGGGTGGGTGAGTGGGGCGGCTGGGCGGTTTGGTCAGTGGGTAAGTTGGGGGTTGGGTGAGTGGGTTAGTGGGTGGGTGGGGGGGCAGCTGGGCGGTTTGGTGAGTGGGTAAGTGGGTGGTTGGGTGGTTGGGTTAGTGGGTGGGTCAGGGGGGGGGGCAGCTGGGCGGTTTGGTGAGTGGGTAAGTTGGGGGTTTGGGGGTGGGTGAGTGGGGCGGCTGGGCGGTTTGGTGAGTGGGTAAGTGGGTGGTTGGGTGAGTGGGTTAGTAGGTGGGTGAGGGGGGGGGGGGGGGGGGCAGCTGGGCGGTTTGGTGAGTGGGTAAGTGGGTGGTTGAGTGAGTGGGTAAGTGGGGGATGAGTGAGTAGGTGAGAGGGGCGGCTGGGCGGTTTGGTGAGTGGGTAAGTGGGTGGTTGAGTGAATGGGTAAGTGTGGGAGTGAGTGAGTGGGTTAGTGGGTGGGTGAGGGGGGCAGCTGGGCGGTTTGGTGAGTGGGTAAGTGGGGGGTGAGGGGGGGGGGGGGCAGCTAGGTGGTTGAGTGAGTGGGTAAGTGCCTGGGTGGGTGAGGGGGTGGTTTGGCCTTTTGGTGAGTGGGTAAACGGGGGGGGGGGGGGGGGGGGGGAGTGAGTGGGTAAGTGGGTTGGTGAGTGAGTGGATCAAACTATGTAAAGGATAACGTTTGTCATATACCAATAAAAAGTAGTTTGAAAATTTATTTAAACTACGTACGTGAAGGTTACTTTTATCTTAGCTATGTGATATGTTCGGTGATCTGAAACACAATTCATAATATCTTATAAAACAGGAAAAAACAGAATTTCACGAATAAATAACACGAAAGTGTATGTAATACTGAAGGGTGTGATTATTTTTATATACTTAATAATTGGAAAACATCTAGAAATTGAATGCGTTGAAACAGACAGAACATAAACTTACTCTGTACATTATATGTTGCCCTGTAAAAAGCCTTGGTCATGTTGCAGTTTTGTTGGCAGACACTGAAGAAATAATGCCATAGCCATTCATAAAGTTTTCACATTACAATCGTATAATGAGATAAAGAGCTGCCCAGTCAAGCGCTCTGACATAGACAAGACTACCACTCTCTAATTTGGATATCTCGATTAATGTTATAGAGAGAGGCTGTGACTGATTCTTCAGGGTGGCTTTTCAACTATACTTGTTAATATGTTATTAAAGCACCGCCTCTATGTTCATTGACACAAAAATAATCAAAATAATAATGCATCGGAGCATTATCTGTTAAATTGACATTGTCGTCCCTAAACAATACATTTGGGGATTTAAGTAATTTAAGTCTAACTTCGAGAAACAATTAACACGCACACACACACACACACACACACACACACAAATATATATATATATATATATATATATATATATATACTGCTATATGGCAGTATATTTTATTGTTAAACAATGACTGTAGCTTTTTTACATTGTTTCTGTTGAGATTCATTAGAAGTTCATTGCATTTGGGGGCGGTCGGGTAGCCTAGTGGTTAAAGCGTTCGCACGTCACGCCGAAGACCCGGGTTCGATTCCCGACATGGGTACAATGTGTGAAGCCCATTTCTGGTGTCCCCCGCCGTGATATTGCTGGAATACTGCTAAAAGCGGCGTAAAACCATACTCACTCACTCACTCACTCATTGCATTGGACATTGGTTAGTTGTCAGGAATGTTTGTTTGTTTGTTGTTTATAACACCAGCAATATTCCAGCTATATGACGGCGGTCTGTAAATAATCGAGTCTGGACCAGACAATCCAGTGACTGACATCATGAGCATCGATCTACACAATTGGGATCGATGACATGTATCAACCAAGTGAGAGAGGCCTGACCACCCGATCCCGTTTGTCGCCTGCATACGACAAGAATGGGTTGCTGAAGACCTATTCTAACACGGATCTTCACGGGTGCCTGGCCCAGACTCGATTATTTACAGACCGGATATAGCTTGTATTATGCTGAGTGCAGCGTTCAACAACATACAAAACCAATTTGTAGGATGCTGCTCACGAATAACGGTTTGATATTAATTTTGACATAACACATGTCACAAGCACATATAGTTTGTCAGACATATCAATGCCGGATAAGTATGTAATTAATCAATAAATGCTCACTCTATGCTTGTATAAATATATGAATACCAGTTAACAATGAGTAATGGAAAACGATCTAAAACTTACTATTTCACACTCAATTTGTCACTTGTAATGGCTTTCAATTCAGGTTGCAACGGCACAGATTGGTTCTTATTGCACTTTGTCGAGGAACATAAGTTCGCAACTGAAACAATCAACATGTTAAATGTTACACATATCGTCGACATCTATTAATAATATTTACAAGGTGTCTTACAGATCTTTTGTCATCATACTGCGGTTTCAATGACATATTTACATGGAGCAGAAAGAAGCAAGAAAGTGACTTTGAGGTTGTAAAGATCAATTGCTTGTTCAGAAAATTATCTTTGAAGAGCCTAATATTTACCACCGTAACCTCTCAATGTGTTGGGTAGACTACAGAAAGCTTATAATTCTGTACCTCCCGAATGGGATTTTTGAGGACACCGGAAAGTATTGAACTCCCTGAGTGGTTACTTGTTTTACTTAAACCTTTAATGAACTTGAGGTGCATTTGCAGGGGGAGGTGGTGACTTTGAAAACCCATCTCCATTAGAAGATTAATATCTAACAATTTCTTTTAGTACTTTGCTTTTGTGTAAAGGATTTAAGCTTTTTGGAATTTTTAATCTCCGTGGATGGTCAGGCCTATACGAACTTGGCAAACCCCAGAATGCCCATATCAGTGGAAAACTTAGGGCAGAGTACAAATGAAGACTTAAGAAAATCTGGAGTTCAGAGTTCGCAATAAAGTCAAAGTCACAAATATTAATGCTGCACCCGTACTTTCGTATTCTTTTTGTGTTGTTGATTGGACGAAAACAAGAAGTTCAGGGTATTGACACCCCCCCACGAAAAATCATATCGACAAGATATCCAACCACATTCGCTCTTCCCTCAATCGCTTGTATAAACCAATCGTAATGGGAGGGCATGGTTTGATTAAAGTGTAGGCTCTTTATAATAGAATTGTATTGTGCACATTTGCGCACAGTTATTTGTCTTTTCTTAAACGAGCCAAGGATGTGGGACATAATCTCAATGGTAATGTTGATTTTGTTAATGGTTCTGTACTGCTGGACGGTACAGAAATGAGTGTCAACCAAGCGAAATCAGCTCAGGCTCAGTTTTTATAGGAGAGGCTATCTGACAGATCACTGCATCGAGTTTATATGCAGTGTGTTGTGATGAACAGCAACCTTGCAGAGTCCTTCGCTTGGATACAATCGGCTGGCCTAAACAATGAAACACAAAGCTTTCTGTCTGCTGCTCAGGACCAGTCACTTCCCACTCGAAACCGTCAATGTGTGATTTTGCATCAAAATGTAAATATGAAATGTAGATTATGCAATGAATTTAAGGAGACTGTCCAACACATTGTCAGTGTATGTCCAGCCTTGGCACAAACAAAGTCAACACATGATGGAATGACTCGATCCTATAATTACCATCTCACTGGTCTCCTTTATTTGGTTTGTAAATCGGTTGAAGGGAAAATGGCTATTTGGTGGTTATTGAATAATATCAGATAATCTATATACCTTAAGCTTAAGTTAAACTTCTGGGCCAGATTACCCTGTTTTGACATTGTCAATCCGAGTTGAAGCTCCAGTTCATGTGCATAAGACTCATATAAACAAGAATGTCTACTTCTTGCATAAATGACACACACACAAATTTTGAATAGATGTTATCAATGAAGAAGTCCAACATTTTGGCTAAAGGTAGAATTGAAAGAACGTTTCCGACTATATCATAAGCTTGTGTTTATGGGTCACTGTCAAATAGTAAGGAAACCAGGTGTGAGCCAGCAAGAGGTACATAATTATGTTAAGGCAAATGAATCTATAATGACATTTGTGCCTCATGGAACTTAGAACATTAATGTCAGAGATCGCTATCCATATATTCAAGGATATCGATTTTGCCTTTTTACCGTAGAAATAGGATTTCTTACTGGTTGTTTCTGCCAAGATGGTAACATTCACGTGGATGATTTTGACCGTCCCAGATGTTTTCATCGTTCTGAGGAGAAGAGCAATTAGGGACAATTACACACAGAAAGTCATGTTTGAATAATATTGGGAAATAGATGACGTGGTGATTTGTTTATTGTTATTTAATAACAAATACTAATAATAAGGAGCAGAGTGCCATCATCGGGTGCGTTTGAATGCCTTGTTCCGATTTTCTGACCAAAACCGAAATATTTTGACCTGTTTCTGTGACGGTGTTTTTATAGCCGCAATTAAAGAACTATATGCTCAACTGCGAGAACTCTTTTGGAGTCGCTTATGCGTTACGTACTCCCGCTGTTAACATACAGAACATAAGAACATTTTTTCGTCTACACGTGCTTGTCGTAAGAGGCAACAAACGGGACCATGCTCGCTGACTTGTTTGATGCATGTCATCGTATCCTACTTGCATAGATCGATGCTCATGATATCAATCGCTTGATTGTCCATGGATGATGTCACTCACTGGGTTGTCTTAGCCAGATTCGATTATTTATTGACGATAGTTGAGGGCGGCGTTAAACAACAAACAAACGTTATGCACCTGAAATATGTTCGATGGGCCTAAAGTAATTACACTTAGACCGTTGACAGGGGCGGATACAACTTTTGTGGGAGAGAGGGGTGCGGATTTAATAATATTTCAATCCCCATTTTCTTTTCATTGCTTCTTCGCCATGACCTGTTCGCATTAAGACAACCGCTTCAGGGGCGGATACACCTTTTGACTGAAACTGAACTGGTTCGAATGATGGTACGCGACTCAAGATTATCGCGATTTAGTTCAGGTAGACAGGAGCTCAGCCTACACTGACACAAGGAGATAATGCATTCTGAGTGCATATGAACTCGCTATTAGTTATTAGTGATATAGGTCCCAGGTACAGTATGACAGACGTCTCTGCACTTACACTTCCCCGGGATCGTATATAACACAACCGACAACGACTCCCTGTGCTGAAGAACGCAATAAATGGATACTGTGATGCCACAGAGAACAGTACAATGACATCATTTTTAGATATCATCCATTTCAAATTTCCAAATTTGATGCCTGAATAAAGTTACTTTCAAAAGTATCTGGTTAAATCCTTGCAAACAGACTGATACAACTTTTTGAATGCATGAGAAAGGATTATATTTACACGGGTAATCTATATTATAAATATTTGGTAAAACAACAATTAATACAATAAACCACAACAGACGAAAATATAGATTTGCATGACTATATTTATTATAAACACATTACTGTATCCAGTGTCATGATTATCTAAACCTAGGTATACGTGGTGGGCAAATTATAACTTTTTGACATGACTGATGTGACACTTTAGGGCAATGTCGGTCGGAATTTGTGCCAAATATATGGCAAAAGGCTCTTTGTACATGGGAATACACTCCTAACCTACTTCTTTTATTTTTTCGTGGCTTGGTTCAGTCTGGCTTCATGGTACCGAAATAGAGGAATAATGAAACCAGACACACTTGGCTTCACTCACGAGTGCACTGTTCTCATAATGCTTGTTGTTTAACGACGCACTCCAGCATATTCCAGCTATATGACGGCGATCTGTAAATAATCGAGTCTGGACCAGACAATCCAGTGATTGATATCATAACCATCGATACGCTCAATTTGGATACAATGACATACATCAACCAAGTCTGCGTGCTTGACCACCCAATGCCGTTAGTCGCCTCTAACTCTCAAAACTTGAACGCTCATCAAAAAGTTTCGTGAGGTGACAGTTTTAGAAGACTGCCTTTGCCAATATAAGATCGAAACGAGGGCCATTTGCAATCTGACTAGCGTTTTATCTACTTGTCCAGTGCGGAGGGGAAACCTATTAGAAAACACGGATATCCTGCCAGCTTTCAACACTAATCCAGATTCAAGAATGGAGAACGTGCAACACTATTCCAGATTCAAGAATGGAGAACGTGCAACACTATTCAAGATTCAAGAATGGAGAACGTGCAACACTATTCCAGATTCAAGAACGGAGAACGTGCAACACTATTCCAGATTCAAGAACGGAGAACGGGCAACACTAATCCAGATTCAAGAATGGAGAACGTGCAACATTATTCCAGATTCAAGAACGGAGAACGTGCAACACTATTCCAGATTCAAGAATGGAGAAAGTGCAACATCAGTCCAGATTCAAGAATGGAGAACGTGCAACACTATTCCAGATTCAAGAATGGAGAAAGTGCAACATCAGTCCAGATTCAAGAATGGAGAACGTGCAACACTATTCCAGATTCAAGAACGGAGAACGTGCAACATTATTCCAGATTCAAGAATGCAGAACGTGCAACATCAGTCCAGATTCAAGAATGGAGAACGTGCAACACTATTCCAGATTCAAGAATGGAGAACGTGCAACACTATTCCAGATTCAAGAACGGAGAACGTGCAACACTATTCCAGATTCAGGAGGAGAACGGGCAACACTATTCCAGATTCAAGAATGGAGAACGTGCAACATTATTCCAGATTCAAGAACGGAGAACGTGCAACACTATTCCAGATTCAAGAACGGAGAACGTGCAACACTATTCCAGATTCAAGAATGGAGAACGTGCAACATTATTCCAGATTCAAGAACGGAGAACGTGCAACACTATTCCAGATTCAAGAACGGAGAACGTGCAACATCAGTCCAGATTTAAGAACGGAGAACGTGCAACACTATTCCAGATTCAAGAATGGAGAACGTGCAACATTATTCCAGATTCAAGAACGGAGAATGTGCAACACTATACCAGATTCAAGAATGGAGAACGTGCAACATCAGTCCAGATTCAAGAACAGAGAACGTGCAAAATTATTCCAGATTCAAGAACGGAGAACGGGCAACACTATTCCAGATTCAAGAATGGAGAACGTGCAACATTATTCCAGATTCAAGAACGGAGAACGTGCAACATCAGTCCAGATTCAAGAATGGGGAACGTGCAACACTATTCCAGATTCAAGAACGGAGAACGTGCAACATTATTCCAGATTCAAGAATGGAGAACGTGCAACATCAGTCCAGATTCAAGAATGGAGAACGTGCAACACTATTCCAGATTCAAGAATGGAGAACGTGCAACATCAGTCCAGATTCAAGAATGGAGAACGTGCAACACTATTCCAGATTCAAGAACGGAGAACGTGTCCAAGTAAAGACACTCGCCAGTGACTTAATTCTTGTCATTCGTGAGTGCATTTTCATTACAGGGCTTGGTACCACATAGGGCTTATGTGACCCAATATTGCCTTTTTGTGGCTGTAACGCTAAATCTGTGCATTTCAATGTAATGTGTTAATCATGTATTAATCTTGTGTGGTTGTTTACGTATGTCAGAATTCAGTCATGTACGAATCTATTTCTTGGTTAATAGTCGCGTTTAAATTTTGCAACACAAGTGGTCAGTGTCTTATTGATAATTATCAAGACAAAGATCAAGCCTACAGGAAACATAAACAGTCCATACCCGTAAATGTGAATCCTATATCCATTGAAGTCTGTTTCCCTGAAAGACGCAAGATCGATGTAAAACGATTTTGACCTGCTTGAATGACCAACACTGTTGCATTTAAAAATATCTATACAAAAACATTAAACAGTATGTTAAAGACATAGGTATTCGTGCAGTTATGGAGCTAAATATAAACAGTTATGTTTCCATCTATGTATCACTTAATGACTCAATGTACGTTTCTATTGAAACCCTTGATGAACAAGTACTTCGTTACTAGATTCCTGCTACTTAGGCCAGCCTTTAACCCACTTTGTCACAAACGTGCCTTACAGTGTAATCATATATTGAGAAAGGGCATAAGCCATAGAGCACAATACTGGAGCATTCCAACTGACAAAAGTCGCTGAAATCGAGAGACCGCTTGCAGACATGTTGATGTTATATAATACGCGAGCTGGGACGGGCTGGACATTATCGACAGACTGAATACGAATCATGTCACAGCTATATAACAGTGTTTTACATTAATTGACGGTTAGGGGCCAGTTCATAATACAAAAAGCAATTATGTTTCATATGTTTCAAATCAAACCCACATAAGAACAAAAAATCATAATGACACCCCGGGAGATATGTTTTTGGCCAAGTAAATCGTACAGGTGGTGATTATGTCGAGATTTTCTGAAATACCCCCTTATCCTGCCAGTCACAGTACACTAAAGGCTGAACACCTGCATTAGAGCACCATGTACTTATTACTTACCAGCTCATCCTCTGTGACTTGGCCGTACAGCTTGTGGCAATACAGGTGACAAGGACGAGGTACGCTGTAAATGCACATATGCCTCTATGTATGACATGCAAACAAACTGCATCTATCACCTGGTCTTACCCTGCATATGTGATGCAGACTGGGCAGTCAGAACAGTTTGTTTATACAATGTGTAACGTAAGCTTTGTACAGCTTTAACGAAGATGTGCTGAAATGATTACTGTATATGTTTCGAATTTACTTGACTTTGCATGTGTTTGGGGCGGGTGAACCTGGTGGGGCATGATCCGCTCACCTCTTCGCGAACACCTGGTATCATTACTGTTGATAGTGAATCATAAACACATGCTCATGATATAGTCGGAATCGTACAATCGACTTTGCTTTATGCAGAGATTTCTATTGGATATGGAAAGGGTTTTGTCGATATATATATATAAGCTTTATATACGTAATGTTGACAAAAATATATTTTCCAAGCTCTCCACAGTATCTCCTTCACTGTAACATCTCAAAGTAACATTTAATATTACTTTTTCTGGTTATCAAGAACATCAACGGAGAGCTTACTGATAGTATGCAGACGAGCTGAAACAACTCCCAAATTCAAATCCTTTGGCTAAATCCACCAATTACCCACTTTTCATAAAGTTAAAAATATCTTTAATGTTCAGTACCTGTAAATGTGCACAACCTGTCCATTGGCCTTTATGTTTGGTGTACTGAAACGAAAGGTTCGCAAGTATTATTTGAAAGTGACATGCTCCAGTTAGATGACAATAGACATGTGCAACAGTCACTGTGTTGAAACATTAAGGACTGTGGGTAGGTATATTGTTTTGACGTCTCTTGGCAGTTGGTGTATTTAGTAAAAAACGCGTATATGATGTGTCTTCCTTGAATTAAGCTCCTTGTGGGGCCGAATATAATCTATTGATAAAACTTCTTAATGTCCATACAAATTCTATCAATTAAATACCCTCATAAAGGTCTCTTATAAGTAAAGAAGACGTTGAGATATGCATGGGCGGATACAGAGGGGGGGGCGGTTATTTCTGTATAAATTACCACCAAAGACAATAAATAGATCTTAATTGTGCACACACCCTTTTCAAAAAAGCTGTATCCGCCCATGATATGTATACCTCGTATTAGGGTATGGGTTAGGTATGTGTTGATAAGGTTGACTCGTCACCAATGACATGGGTACACTGCGTGATGAAAAGTCATAAAGTCACGCACATACATAAAATGTCTCTTGATTGATATCCTGGTACAAGTGTTTGTATCTGGTCAACATGCGATGGGACTTCCGTAGGATACATAACATTGACCTAGTAAATTACGGCTAACTTAACATAGAGGAAGAACCTTGTGTGAATGGTTTTCAAGAAAAAATAACTTACCGCGAATAAGTTTTGCACAGTATGAAGGGCAAGTATGCGTAACAGCCACCTTCCTACAATCCTCCACCCTACTCAGGTCCCACCAGGAAGTGTATTCTGACTGTATTTCTAGCTCACAGGGAAATACAGCGCTCTGATAACCATAAATAGAGTTGGTCTAACTTTCGTGTGTTTACCTTGGCATGTCACAAATCATGACCGACAATATCACCACAGGCTAACAGATATGATGTTGCGCTGTGACATTCACAAAAAGGCAAGCCTTTTGGGGTGTTGTTGACGGGTGGGTAGGGTGTTTGGGGTAGGGGCCATGTGTTGACTGGAGTGTTGTTGATGGGTGGGCAGAGTGTTAGGGATTGATGGGTGGGTGGGGTGTTTGGAGTGGGGGCCATGTGTTGACTAGAGTGTTGTTGATGGGTGGGTGGGGTGTTCGGGGTGGGGGCCATGTGTTGACTGCAGTGGGAGTCATGTGTTTGACTGGAGTGTTGTTGATGGGTGGATGGGTTGTTGCAGGGTGGGGGCCATATGTTTGACTGGAGAGTGGTTGATGGGTGGATGGGGTGCTGCGTTGTGGGGGCCATGTGATGACTGGAGTGTTGTTGATGGGTGGGCAGACTGTTCGGGATGGATTGGTGGATGGGGTATTTGGGGTGGGGGCCATGTGTTTGACTTGAGTGTTGTTGATGGGTGGTGGGGTGGTTGGGGGGGGGGGGGGGGGGGGGTAGTTGGGTGTGGGGGCCATGTGTTGACTGGAGAGTTGTTTATGGGTGGGTGAGGTTTTCGGGGTGGGGGCCATGTGTTGGCTGGACAGTAGTTGATTTGTAGATGGGGTGTTCCGTGTGGGGTCCGTCTGTTGACTGGAGTGTTGTTGATGGGTGGTGGGGTGGTCGGGGTGAGGGCCATGTGTTGACTGGAGTGTTGTTGATTGGTGGATGGGGTGGTTGGGGTGAGGGCCATGTGTTGACTGGAGTGTTGTTGATTGGTGGTGGGATGTTCGGGGTGGGGGCCATGTGTTGACTGGGGCGTTGTTGATGGATGGATGGGCTGTTGCAGGGTGATGGGCATGTGTTGACTGGGGCGTTCTTGATGGGTGGGTGGGGTGTTCGGGGTGGGGGCCGCTGACTGGAGTGTTGTTTATGGGTGGGTTGGGTGTTCGGGGTGGGGGCCATGTGCTGACTGGAGTGTTGTTAATGGGTGGGTGGAAAGGACGTTTGGGACGGTGTTACAGAAAGTATAACTTTCCTCGTCGACTGACGTGAAACGTGAAATTTAAGTAGTGTTATCAGTGATCCATGCATATGTATTTTCAACACCATTTTGCATTTTCCGCTTAATGTTATCTGTTTCCGGGGATAATCGAGATTGGTTAATAGCTGGCCTAAACACAGCAAAAAAAATGCAGTTTCCGGTATCCGGATACCTGCCGGATACCACCGGACACTTACCCAAAACGCGTCCGGGTATCCGGTGGCAGATACCTTGCCGGATACCAGATCCGTGGTATCCGGCATGGACACCTCACCTGAAAGTATGCCACCTGGAATCCGGGTATCCGGCACCGGATACCTCACCGGATACCTCAATCTGGGTTTCCAAGGATCCGCAACGGATACCAAGTATCCGGCACCGGATACCTTATTCTGAGTTTCCAAAAACATGTCACAATTTGGGGGTGCATTTTGTTCAATTAAGTGTGAAACACCTAAATATATATTGGAAACTAACCATGAAAATTGAACATTGCTGAAGGTATCCGGCAGGTATCCGGATGCAATTTTTCGAGATGTCTTATTTCTGGTAAATAATGTTAGCCTGGGCATATCAGATAGCTGTAGTAATATTCCGTGTCATTTTAGTTGTAAATATCCCCTTAAAGTTGAGATCTATGGGCATGTACTTTTGGAGAAGACAATTTTTTTTCAATTTCATCTATAATTCTTTTTAGATGTTAAGCTATTTAATGAACAAACATCAGTTCTAATACATGTATGATGATATCCTTAAATTTCATGTTCAGACTTCCAGATTATTCTGAGTGAAAGTATAAACTCATCGACTGTGTGCTCACTTGGGCCTTTGGTCCTAGTGAGATGATAATATGATTATTTGTAAAGGTACAAGTACTTGTTATGAGCATACCAGCTTCATCTAAGTTTGAAACACAATATCCCTCATTCTGAGGGTGACATGTACCAGATTTCATCACACTACAGAGAGCTGTTCCTCAGTTACTGTGAACATTTTTACTGAAAGACATTGAAAGCTAGTTTGACCTTCAATATCAGTTGCGACTATTTCAAAAACAATTGTAAAGTGCTTCATTCAGTGTAATATTGACAAACATATGACAATGATATACAACTATATGTATAAGAGTTATTTAGACTTCTGCAGGAAAAGGCACATTAGAGAACAAGAGTCATCAGAAAGATGACATATCCCCCCGGCAGCTGTCTGTAAAGTAACCACTAGTGCATTTCTGTATGTAATGAGTCAACAGTTGAATGTTCTTTAAGAAGCATACATTGTTTACCCACAAAAGATCCACCATGGTCGCATCCATATGAATGCCAAGTTTCGATCAAATACATTGAAGATTTTCGAATTCTGCCCCAGAAATGAACCTTATCCCCAATTGAGTCTATGTCCAACTTCATTCCATAAAAAAAATAAAAAATAAAAATGAGAAAAATCCCAAAATTTGAAAGGCACCACTTCAGTATGTGCATGATAGCTTTGCCAAGTTTCGATCAAATACACTGAATGGTTTTCGAATTCTGCCCCGGAAACGAACCCCATCCCCAATTGAGTCTATGTCCAACTTCATTCCATAAAAATTTAAAAAAAATAAAAATTAGAAAAATCCCAAAATATCAAAAGGCACCACTTCAGTATGTGCCTGATAAGAGTTGCCAAGTTTCGATCAAATACACTGAATGGTTTGGGAATCCTGCCCCGGAAAAGGAAATTATTACGGACGGACAGACGGACATACAGGCTGATCACTATATCCCCTGTATTATATGCCGGGGGATAAAAAGTAAGTGTGTGATCTGTTGCCAACTTCTATCCCTGCCCTAAGGAAGAGTTTGGCCATTAACAATTTTTTTGTCTGGCTGTGACATTGACCTTTGACATAGCAGATCAATGTGTTATTCCAAAGATGTCCAAGCAATGCATGGTTTTATACGATAACTGTGGCTATCAAACTGAGGCAAAATATTGGAAAATCCCCATTTACACAGCTGGCTAAAGAAACAAACAACAAACAAATTATCAATTTCTTTTATTTATATGCATATATCACACATTGAACAGTGTTCACATAATGGTTCCTGATGCAGTATGCACTTTCCTCCTATTCTTCAATACTCATAACAGAGCGGGATAACTGTTCGCTTGAAAGCATCAGCAGACCATGCTCACCAGTTCAGAGTTACTTGCCCTCAAACATCCTTTTCCTTCTATATTGCCATGGAAAAACAGGAACCAGGATGAGGGGAGGCCAGATGGGCTCTATCCCTGTTGCATTGTGTTAGTAGAATTGTGAACATTCTATTTGGTGTTTGGGTCCACATTTATAGACAAGTAGTCGCAAACATCATTCCTTTCAAGTGATTACCACATGGCCAAAGACAATAATTTCTTCAACGTCCTTGAAGGGTCCCACTCCGACTTGGCATTGGTTGGTCTTCTCACATTAGCCAGACCACCCTTTGTGAGTGTGTCCCAGTGTCAATTGGCATATAACTTCTCGGTAGGCTCCCATTGAAATAACAGGACTCTCCTCATCGCTGTCTGCCAATCACTTCGGATATCTGGAAGGGTCCTTCCAGACTGTCAACCTGTCATCCGGGTATCTCAAGCTGGACTTCAGTTTCTGCAAAATTATGTATAAAGATTGTAGCAAAAGAAAAGAATTGTTGCAACATGTACTTACAGATAAAAGGCAGCAAATTCACTTAATTTATCATCTTTGAGTTTTGTTATATACCAAACATTTGAGATATATATTGTTCCATGCTGATGAGTTGAAACAATCATTAACTGACATCTCTTAAAAATGTTCCTAGCAACCTATGCTTGCCATACAAGCCAAAGTAATAGATGAGGTAGCAAGTGGGCTCATTGAAAGCTCGTAATCGTACCCAATAACGTGGGATGTTGTCCATAACAGTCATCATCGGTGCGTCTTGATCGAGCTCATAACATTAATCTCTGGTTTGTCTAGTTGAGATTTGAGATTTGATTAATTTATAAGCCTTGTCATTTAGCCGAAACTATTGCTGGATGTGGTGTTAAATGAGTGAATTGGGTTTAACGCCTCTTTGAACAGTATTCCAGTTATATCACGGCATGTAAGCTTGATGTGGGAAGAAAGCCCGAAGTGATGCAGGTCTTACATGTTTACCACTTTGATGAAACCCACAAGCAAGTGAATGATGCTACCCTCGATTCAAACCCACGACCATCGGTTTCTGTCAAGCCCAAGAGATGCAACTATGCACAGCAAGTTGTAGTGCCTTTGATAATTAGGTCATCCATGCCAACATGTGATAAAGAACAAGCAAACTGAAGAAATATTTGCAGAATAGCTACATGAACATGATGAACCAAACAGAATAATTTCAAATATTTACCACTCACTGCTACTCTTCTCTTGTTCCTCATTGCTTCCCTTTTTCCATTGATGCTGTGCAGATGACCGACTCATTCATTCATCCAGACATTCTGCAAACATAAGTAGCATTCACATTACAGAAATGTCCAAACTGTACATGTTGTACATTGAATTCAATTGAAAAGGCCCCAGTTGAGTTTCCAACTTAGAACTGTCCTTATTAAAATATTTCATCCCAAACATTCAGAGATAAAACATAACCCCATATTTAACAACTGTCAAACAATTATTTGACAACAAAGCCAGGGTCATTCAACATGCACTTTACATAAGGAATCACTTGTTGCAAAAAAGATCCTCGCCAAGGTCAGAGTCATTCCATGAAATATTGAATGATTAAGTTATGAAGCTGATACAAAACAAGGACATAACAGTGTAATTATAACAATATCCTAAGCGTAAAAAAATACAGTATGTTGGTGGCCATTATTGTAAATTATAATCTGTATTAGCATCCCACGAAAGTTTAGAGTTAATAATCGTTCCTAGATCTTGGTACTTTTCTTCATTATCTATA